AAAGAACACCACTTACAGTGCTGTAATGTTACCCAGCTGCTGAGTTAGTGATGCTCCAAAGTTGCACATGTAGGCAAACGAAACCACCAGTAAGTGGAACGTGGGTGCTTAAAGACCTTTGAACTTAGGGCCTACATGTGTGTGTGTGTATATATGTGTGTGTGTGTCATAAACATACTACGTATGCTCATTATTAGACTAAGTAATGAGCACACAGCAGCAGCAACAGCTTTGTCAAGTCCCATAAGCAACTACATTCAGGCCCGAGTCCTATTTCTCTGGGAAACCCCCAATGAAAATCAAATTTAGTAAATGAGGGGATGATTTGGGGGGCTATTTTCCTTCTCAGCCTTTACTGAGACACATTTCCTCAGGCTGATTTCAAAGCTGCTGTTTTTCAGAGAAGATATGAGGCAGTCTTGACTTCTTACCGTCATTAAATGTCACACAACAGTATTTGCAAGGGAAGGGGGTGTCCTCACTCCTTGCTACAAAGCTAGCAATTATATTTTCGAAGTACAAATGGACCATGGATGAGATGATAAGCAGCTGTCCTGCCTCAGCACACGATAGGTCATATTTTGGGAGCAATCTCCTCTGCAATGGCTCCATATACACTTTGCAGGGCTACTTTGTATTCCCACACACTGGGAAAAGCACAAGAGTATGGTTCTAAAGTGTGAGATAAGGACCTCGAGTCCCGCATAGCTGGGGGGAGAGAAAAGAAGGCAGTGGCTGAGAGATGCTGAGACCCAAAACAAGGAGCTTGTAGCCACCAGTGGAGGGGAATACCCCACTTAAACTTTGTTTTCTCCTCTGCTCTGCCAAACTTCTTCAAGTAAATCATACTTTATCTCCCAAATAATAATTTCTGAATCTCTCAAATAATTTCTGAAAGCAACACAAATTGTCTATTTGGTTATGATGTTTTTCTATTTTTAATTGTACTTTATTGAATAAAAAATATTTCCCTCTACAGCAAAACAAAACAAAGTTTCCAGTTATTATATGCTTTTGGTTTCTGTCTCCTCTATAACCACCTTATTTTCTCCAGTCATTTTCAAGATTTCAGGCTAGGATCACACAGCCTCTTATATCATATTATTTTCCTACCATGAAGTTGTTTATGTGTATTGTTTACCCACAGACATTTCTCTCTCACTTGGTATATTCATTACTAAATAATTCTGTGAGAAGATACAGGCCACTGATTTTTTGCAATTTGCATCCCCATACTCTAAGCTATGTTGAAAGCAAAGCTTTTTGGTCCTCTTGCTTTGGAAGTACATTAATATTTCTATGACCTTTACTAGATGGCAGATGAGAAGCATTAGGAATAAAATAACAAACAAACCAAAGGAAACCAATTTTTTAAAATGTGTATTTCTGAAAGGAGCGAGAGGGAAAAGAATCTAGTCTAAAAAAATATGAACTTTAGCTAGAGTTATGATAATTGTTCTATTGTAGTCTATTTTTCCATGTCAAAATGTTTCTTTATGATCAATCCATTCAACATAATGCAAAAATGTATTTGAAGGAGTTTAGTAGCTATGCATACAAAAAAAAATAGGTATTATTTAGAGATATTTAGAAAGAAATAGAGTAGTTTAAGACATGTTTATTTACTGTGAACATTGAAGTGATCATATTAAAAACATGGTCACTATGCTAACAACTACTTTACACAAAATGACTTCAAATCACTTCACTTCCAAAGCCTGCTGCTTATAAAGAGAAATTCTACGAAACAAGCTGTGAATGTAGCGACTTTTTGCGTGGTGTAAATGGTCTGCTTTAGAAGACTACACTTTCAGAAGGCTTTAGAAGACTGTAGAAGGAAAACCAACTAAATTCTACCCAGGAAACCATTTCTCTCACGGCAGCATTGTTTTTCAGTGGTTTTACTACACACCGGAAGCCAAGTCTGTTCCTGTTCATCTAGGTGTCGATGCCATAACTCAAAGGAACAGATCCAAAAATGATTTTTAGTGACTTGAAATTTGACTGCTTTATGAACACCGTGTATAGATTAACAACATCTATGATTCAGCAAGGCGTTTAACAGATGGAAAGCAGAAGTTCTCCCATGAACTAAAGTATCTGTTCACTGGTTTCCAACTGGAGCCAAAACTAAGATTCTTTAATAGCAACCCTCTTTCATATCCTTTATATCATATACTTTATATCATATGCCACAGTATCAAGTGAAAAGACATTCTAGGGGGGGTTGTTTCTCTTTAGGATCGTGTGGAAGAGTCAGAAAATTTTAAAATAGCAATAACCAGTCCACCGTACCATGAATTGCATGAATCCAGAAGGGTTCAGATTAAATCTAGTGGTGCTATTTATAGGATTGACATGATGGCAAGAGTCCCCTTCTGTCTTTACTACCAAGAGCAATGCTATTGCAGCCAGTAGAAATACGAATAGGCCTTGTATTGAATGTGTCACGTACCTATTTTTTAATTATTGCTTTTGTATGCTCGTTTCAACACATGAAAATTTTCCCTCCTTGAGGTTTCAAGGAATACTATCTCATAATTTTAGGATCAAAATACAGATTTGTTAAAATCATAAGAACTTCTTAATGGGAAAAACAGTTTGAAAACATGCTTTTTGTTATTTTATTTTAAGTGAAATGAGGGACTTTATAGTTCGGATACAAGCATTTCCCTTCCATTTGCTCTTTAAGCCCAAGAGCTTGTTGCTCTTCATTCAAGTTTTCAGAGAAACTGAAAGTAACTAGAAACTGACTTTAAAAAATACCTTTCCTCCCCACTGTTTATTTGTTTATAAATTTCCTCAGCTTGATCTAGCAGTATGGAGAAGTGTAGAACATCCTTACATTTTTTTTTACAATTTTTATTTAGCTAAAGGATTTCTAACACACAGCTTTTGCTCATTAGATGTAGAGATTCTGGCTCATAACCAGTCTGTAAAGTCAGAGAAAACTACGCTGAGTTATCCAGCTGAGAACCTGCCCCATTTTAAATGCTCCCATCTCCTCAGATTATTGTGCTTTAATTATGCCATGTGTAAAATATTTTTATACATAAAACATTCAATCTGAACTTACTCAAGCGATGGCATCTGTCTTTGCAGTCAGTGTTCTCAGCCCACTGCTGGTTTAAAATGTAATCTGTTTTCATCTGCTAGTTTGAATGGAATTTAAGTTTCTGTTCAAGATATAGCCTGTGACGCTGCATTGCATTGCACAAAGACAGTTCCTACATTCTTACCCTCTCTGCACTGAAGAGTTGGGGCTCTGAAAGATTTGATTGGAATCCTTCTCAAGCATATAACAACATAGCCTTTGTAACCAGTAACAAATTTGCAAATATCTTTATATGGTACATAATAATTTAATGGGACATAATAAGACAAATTTGCAAAAGAGACTATGTTTTTGTCTAAAATATTCACTGACTTGTATACACGTGCAGCTCCAAAATGGACAAGCACAAAAGGCAAAGGCAGGTTGCATCCTTCCTGTACCTGTACATACATAGGCTTTAATTTTGCATGTGTACCCGTAAGTTCTAATTTAATGCATACAGAGAAACTGATTAGATGAGAGCATCTCTTTTAAAAAAATCAGGTATCTGTGTTTTGTGCATGATGAAAATACAAAGAGCTAAAAGTGATATAGTTTCTGTGTTAGGTCAGACATTTCAAGAACTGGAATATTTCTGCTCCACTTTAGGATAAACAATCTTCTACAGTCTTATTAGGAGAAATGTTAGACCTTAGTGTCAGTGCTTGTCTTGCTTAGCTGTCATCTCACGTTCCCTAGGGGCTTGTATATTGTGTATGATTGAGATTTGCACAGCAGCATCAGGTATTTGGATGCTCAATTCCCATTATAGTTGCTGAGGATCTAACCCCTTCGTTGAGGGATGTTAGTTCTTTCTGTGGATTTGCTGTCCTCTGGCTCTGTGGTTTACATTCCATACCTTTCAGTATTTCCAACGAGTCTTCAGTCTGCTCTTGAAAAGGCCTTTTGCCAATGGTGCATTTTATAATCCTTCACAGAAAGCCCTTAACTGGATATGGGAAAGCTATTTCTTATAAACGTATTACACACATAGGTACCTCAAAAGCCTACTGGAGAAAAGCAAACAGGAGAGCTAACAGAGCAGCAATATAGATGATTTGGGAATACAGCTCACCAGAGACCTCAGGACAGAAACCTCTGAGCAAGCTGCCAGGCTGTCCAAATTATTAGAATAAACTATTTGGACTATTTTGGCCCCTGGAGCACAGTAGAACTCCCTGAAGTACAAATTCACATTTGGTCTTCTCTTTCTCAGGGATGCAACTTCCTCATGATGTCTACACCAACACCAGAAAATAAAACAGTGCTGAGACAAAGACGTAAGTACTGGCCCTCCATCTTCCCTATTTAACTGTTTTCAGTTTAAGCATAAGAGAATTTAAGTATGGGTGCAAGCCACACAGTCTTAATTAGCCTCCAGACCAGAGAATATAACCTGGCTCCTTTTATTCACTACTACACACAGAGCCAGCACAGGCAAAGATTAAAATCTCACTCTGTGACATTTAACCATATTTGCAAGGCACGCTTAGGACAGCTGGTAAGAAGGACTGCTGGTCTGTAATGATTTCTTAGTTAATAGTACATTTACGTATGTGTGTCTGCATTGCATGTGTATGTGTATATATATATACACACAAAATGTCAATGGCTGGAACAGCTACAGCATCATTTTCTACCTTAGTTAACAGGGCAATTCAGTACAGAGAGCAAGTTTCAAGCTTTGACTTACGACTCCTCTTGTTTTTAATATGGTTTTAACTGTCAACGCTAGTAAGTCATAAATATGAGAATAATGTAATAAGGACTACCACAAACACCCACTTCTATGTTATTTTATTTTTGTTCCGTATTTAAAGTATCCACACATCTTCACACATTTCCTTCCTCCTCACTGTCAGACAGTGAGGCTCTCCGTTATGCAGGTAAAAAGGATTGACACTTTCTAAACTGTAATAGTTTCTCGTTCCCTCTTGTTGAAAGAATTCTGAGGACTAACTGGAGTCACCATTTGAGAAAAAGGTCCCTGGTGATTATACTGAGACGAGCTTCCATGTTTTGCTATGTATCTGCAATCACAAAAAGACAGAGAAAAAAAGACTTCTAAAATGTGTTCTCATCTTGCTAAACATTCCCTCTTCTTCCCTCTCACTGCATCCTTCATAAACAGTTATGCCCATTGGCCTCAGAGAATATTAATAATTTGCAATATTCCATGGTATTAAAGAACAATTAAGAGCCCCCTTAAGAACAATTCCTGAGAGTTTTAAATCTTACTTTCTGTATATATATAATGTGCTGAAAGACAGATCCCTACAGCAACTGTAAGAAAGGTATGTATGTTCTGCCTCTTGCCTCTTTTCAGTCTGCCTTGGACACACACAGTTGCTTCACAACTAACCTGCACACTGTGGAGAACTGCCATGAGGATGCTGAATGCATTCAAGCACATAAGGCCCTGTAGTGCCTGGAGGGCTAACTGGTGATGCTGGAGGTTTGGCTTTCAAGTCTAGAAAAAACACTTTGCTGGCACCATATCATGCCTGCTTTAGATGCCCAGTCCTTGTGGTAGAGAATACTGGGATGGGGATTAGAATATATGCTGGGGATTGGGAGGGAAGAATTTATGCTAGACTTCTGATATTCTTCTAATCTTTTACAGGAAGAGGCACTATAAATAATCTTATATCTACAACCTAAGTTGGTGTAGCCCCTCTGCTGCAAAACATCTAATCAAAAGCAGGGCTGACACAAAACTCACCACAGAGTCCTATGTTCACTCACTCTCCAAACAAAAAATATTTTCTTCTGACCTAAAGATCCTTTTTGAAATCTCCAAAGCAACTTGCTGAAAAGGTGCAATCCATCTCTCTAAAATCAAACTAAATCCAGCACTACCTTATATTAACTATGGCAAGGCAAACACATTTCCATACAACTCGTGGTGCAAATGAATTTGTGTTTTCTGGGTAGCAATGGACAGTTCATTTAAACACAAAACAAAACACAAAACAAAACATAAAACATTTCTTCCTATGCAAAAGCTAAACAATGCTGCCAGAATTTAATTGCACGAAAGGACTTTGAAACCTAATTTTCTGACTTCACCTTGGGATTACCTGGAAATAAAAATACAATAAAAGTACGTCAATAAAGCTCGACATATAAAAATACTATTCATATTCAAAGATGAAGAAACCATATTTCTTCTGTTCTATATCCTATACAATCCTGTTGAGTTCAGAATGCTTAAAACAGGTATAAAGGATTTTGCCCCACATACTGTGGAAGCTCCATGCGATAGAAATACAGTGCAGAAGTGGTTGCATGCTGCCTGGTCTATCTGATATCGCTGATACTTTTAACAGGAACATTTATTAGACCATGTTAGCAGTAGACAAGAGACTCCTTCTGATACCCATAATTGTCTTCAGGAGACTGACCGTATATTGTAGACATGTCAAATAAAGCAGCTATAAAAACATCCAACACATGCAATCGCTTGCTACTTTCTGAGAAATTATTACAGTCATGGCTTGAGAATGATGAAAGAGAAAAAAAGGGGTCACCATTTTAAAAACAGTAAGAATGAGATCACGTCCTACATGAAAAGCATGTGGAGATGAATTGGGGTAGTCTGACCCCAAATTCCAGGAATAACCTCTCTTCTCTTCACCTCTCCACTACAGTCTAGCTTGATCTGTGACCACTGAAATCAGCAGGACTTTTATCATTTATTTTACAAAGGGAAGGAATCAAATGTTAAACATCTCTTTTTTATGGGCATCACTAACCAATGTTGGAGGGAGATTCCCAGCATCCCTAATAGTTTTACATAGCAGTTTCATAGAGGGCTACGATCCTCCATCTAAGTCAGTGAACACGATCTTAGTCCTCAAGTGGCCACAGAGAAAGTAAAATAGGACTGTTACAACTTTGCAACCAGTGGTTCTGCCCTCAGGGGAATGTACCATTCAGCTCAGAAAAAGGGTGGTAAAACCTGGTCTACAATGTCTGGGTCTGATTATGCTCGCTATCTGTTCCTACACACCCTTCTTCAAAAAAGTCAGGGGATTCCGTCCTGGTTCTGGAAAGTCTCCATTAGCGCAGAATGAGAACCCCGTTCTTGCTACCCACTAAAAACTAAGAAAATTCATCCACTATGAACTACAGCCACAGTAACACCTGTAGAAAGTAAAAGGAAGTAACACATGTGCTTTCCTTTCTTAGATCACAGTGGCGCTTGTCTTTTTGCTCTTGAAATCAGGTATCTGTCTGAAGTCTGTCAATGATCTTTGCTAAGATGCATTTGCCTTTTTATTTGCCTGTGACATTTACAAGCAAGTTAGTCTTGCATCAGGCTGTTCAGCTTTATTAGCCTATAGAGACTCATGACACTGTTGCATATTTTCATTCCCTGTCAACAGCAAACTGTGACTACAGGTGACTGCCTATTTTCTAAGTATAACCACAAGAGAAAAAGAGCAGAGGTGAACGGATGGAGGGCAGCAGAAAGGGAAGTCAGTGCATTTTGCACAACGATGGAACACTTGACAAGGTGAATTCTTTAAAAGCTAGGCAGCTCCCTAAAGCTCCTCATGCCTTTTCTGGATACTTTTCACTGGCAGTGCTGAAAAAGAAGTGTGATGTGTTGTGAACAGAATTCTAAGGCCAATTAAACAGTTCAGTGGAAGATAAATTTCTCAGGAAAACATGGAAACTTGGGATAGTGTCACCATGTCCTAGATCATTATGGATAACAAGAAATCAGAATCTAAAGCACAAAATCATAAAGGAGAGAGGGGAAACAAATAGTTACTAAGCTATTCTGAAGCTACTGGGAGAAAGGGTAGGTTGGTCCTTTGCCAAAGTCAGAAGCTCTTTTTGCTAACAAAAGGAAAACAGTTTTTCAGCTGTTCTGAGGTGTCCAGCTCTTTTGAAACCAACAACAGTTAGACACCTAAATTCTTACACTGGCCCGTAGTTTTAACAAGCCTTGAATGGAAGAGCAAGAGAGAATAAAGATTATTAACTCACTTCATCAAGTAGCCACAACAGTGATGTAGGGCTATGATGATTTCATAGTCACAGGGTCCTGGCCTGCATCGGTGTGGGGCATGGCATGATTTTGCCTCTCACTGCCGTCTGAGTAAACCCCCCCATTCTTAACAACTATTTTTGTATAGCAAATACCCATTTTACAAGTCTGCCAACACCACTTTGGAAACACACCACCACACGTTTTTCTTTTGGGAATTTTTAACTTTGACGTTCATGGGACTCTTTCAAAACACACAAAGATCAATCAATCAAGAAAAAAGAGTCACTTAAGCATGACTTAGTGACCATAGCTAAAGAAAAAATTTCTCAGTGTAGAAATAATCCACATTTAGAAATCATGATTTACCTCAGTGTTAAGGTACCTTCCCAATACATACTTTACAATGTTCCAGAAAAATTCTAAAACCTCAAAAGGATTTCAGATTAGCATGACAATAATGTGGTGGGATCCAACCCCACTGTATTTGTATTTTTTAAGCCGATGGAATGTCATGCTTAATATTTAATTGTTCTTTAACTAAATAAATGCAATTAGGATTTTCCCTGTAATCTTTCTGAACAAGCTGAGAAGTATACCTCATACCTACCCATGCATTCGTGCAATTATTGATGGGGTTGTTGATGGAAGATTAGAATTTGCCGGGTGGGTGGCTGACCAATGAACCTTGCCAGTGTATCCAGGGATATTTGGAGTGCTAAAGGAAAAAGTTAAAGGGGGGTGAGGGTTGGAGAAAGAGTAGATTAAATGACTATAGGCTTGAAATACGACTTACAGATCAGTTCTAAAATAGCTAGTGTTTATCAAAGACGGATGGGTCAAAACTCTTCATAATATAATGAGTAGTCCTTAGAATGTATGAACGGACATAGCTTCTTTAAGATCAGTGAAACAACTTCATGATGATCTAGCTGATGATCTGACCCAAAATCTTTGGTTAGACACGGCAAAAGTGAGTTCTTTAGTGACTTTTCCTTTTTTTTTCTTCACCGTTTTTTAGGTTGAATATCTGTATGGTATTCATGATTACAAGCAACATTTAATCTCAGAGAACAAATGGGGTCACGGGGTTCGCAAAGAGCACAAAAAGCAAGGAAATATTCTTTAAAAATGTGATACAGATTTAGCTCATATTTAGGTTCCAGATTCAAACATGGAATTTAGGTAGCAGGCTTTAGGCCAACGAGTGTGATTTCTCATGGCCTAAACCACAAATTATTTCCTAAATGATTCTAAAGTTCTCCAAATTTCCCCTAGAATTTATTAAGAATGTATTTACATGTATATGTAATATTATTAACATTGCTTAGACACATCAACTGAAATTCTAGCTTGAGTACACCAGTGGACTGAGATAGTATGTGCCACATCTTGGAAACCTAAAGCCTTTTGTTAATTCTGATGCTAAGTTTCAATGTGAAATTCAAATAGACAGTTCCTTAAAGAGACGGAGGAAAGAATTCTATTTATCTGAGGTAGCACAACAGAAAATTTTGATAGCAATTGCTGCAAAATGAAGCAGAGATGGACAAAACAAAAGCAAAAAAGAAAGAACAAGGTACTAATATGAATTCAGAGAGATAATCCATAAAGATTAAAAATAAAACAATCTAAACTCCCAATATGACAGCTTTTTTGCAACACGAAGTTAGTCAGAGAGTATCATCAGTACTATCCTATATTGACAGCACAAAATAGAACACTACTGAATTATACATATATCCAGACCGCCCATACACATGGAGGTAAGAAATCATGACAAGCTGTTTCATCCACTGAATCAACTAAATACTTGGGATTGTAAACCTTGCCTGCATTAGTCCTTTGTAGGTCTTCAGACCGCATGAATGATAACAGTGCCTCCTTTAAAATAATCTCTGAGGTATTTTTTGGTTCCCCTGTACTCTGTGTAAAAATGAACAGTTCCTTTAATTATAAAGTGCATAGAGCTATTAGTTTCAGTACAGCTGATCAGCTACTTCTCCGCAACTAAGTTCAGCACAGGATGCAAAACTGGACATATGTGTGAGACTTGATTTATCAGAAAATTCTTTGACTTGTGTACTAGGAAACTTGGGTCTGAAATTCCTCACCAGAATAGCAAAGGTAATGACAAAATGCTGTACCAATGTATTGTTATAACAAAGGACTGTGGGTGAACTATACTGGTCACAGGAGCATTTGCGGTATATGTTGTAGTCTTTGTACCCATAGTTAGCAGAAAGACCATCTAGTTCTTTGTCTTATTTTGGAATAGCCTTGCACTAACCCATACATTCATAAACTGCTTTATTCCCTGGGCTATGCTCCAGTACGTGACCCTCCAGAGAAGACGGTAGAATCAGTATGCCGGTTTTGTAGCACTTGGGAAGCTGTTACCTATAGGGAATTGCCAAGTAGTTGGCTGAGCAAGTAACAAATCTGCCCCCTCTCTTGATAGCAGCCATGCAGGGGTAACAAGTAGGCCTGAAAAAATAATACAGCAGTGGAACATTTTCAGAATTGGACAAAATGGCTTGCAGACAAATTTGCTTTTTCATGTCAAAGTAGACAATTGTCAGGCTATGTGCAGATGAAGTAACTCTGTGTAGAAAATTTCATCTGCATATGCAGGGATCCCACTGAGGGACACAATGGACATTGGGTGGCTGTAAGTATAAGCACATGCATTCAGCCAAAACCGAAAATGTGATATCACTTCGAAGGAATCAGTCAGACTATGAACAGAGTTTTATTACCCTGGTGATGTGCTACATACAAAGATACACCTCTCACACGTAATAAAGAAATTCCGTTGACTTCCTTGAAATTGTATGAGTGTTACAGAGAAGAGAAGGAGATCACAACAAGAAGCCCCATATTAACTTGCAACATTTTATAAGCCTATTTGAAGTTAGCTCACATAACTACTATACAACTGTCGAGATATTCAAATACATTTTGCACTGTGAGGCATCTGGTTGATAAAATCTTCTGACCTTTAAAACTTGCAAAACTAGAAGAAAAAAGAAAAGCACCACGAATGGCCAAACGTTACCCAAAAATCAAGCCTGAGAAATGACCCAAGATGAAGATTTGTTCTAGACTGTCTGTTAGGAAGGATTGACAGAAGTTGGTATATTCATAACATGTGGAAAGGATGTAGCTCTGAAAGAGAAGAGAGATGGGCAGAGAGAAGCTAAAAGTACCAGGATAGTAAGAAAGCTTACACTAACAGTAAAGCAGCTGCTCTCTTAGGAACCTGCAAAGAAGATGCAAAAATATGCTGTGGTTATGTATGTGATAAAGCAGAAGAAACTGAGGTTAAAAAAATACCCCTTTGGTTTTTTGTTTTTGGATCATGCTGTCTAGCTCTTATGTGTTTTCTCTAACGAGCTGCTAAACCAGATTGTTGCTGCCAAAGAAAACAACTAAGCGCCAGGCTACCACTGGGCAACATTCAAAACTCCTCTGTGGTTATGCTGTCGTCATCAAGCTTTCTTTCTGTAACCATGACATCTCTCTTGTTCATACACTTCCTTGTTATCATGCTAGCAGCTCTTAGTCCCAATAAGAAACATACAGTGTTGGCAGTTGAATCTGTGCAAGCTCTAAGATTTTTCAAGTGGAATGTGGTGATTCTGACTGCCTCTGCTCTGGTGTGCCTCTGCTTTGTATGTCCATCTCGGGATGTCTTTGAAGATTTTTATTTCCTGGTAGTGTTCAAGAAAAACAGTGTGGACTTAATTTAGTTGGCCACCCATACTGGCATTGAGAGCTCTTTGAGATGCCTTAAGGTATCTGAGATAACCCCCTATAGCACAGGACCCACAGGAGACACATACTGTTCTGAAGCAGCAGCTGGAAGTGATGGTCTGGGGTGTCTCCAGGGCATTGGATGCCCAGGTTTGCCATGTAAATTCCATGTCAGCTGTTTTTATGGGAGCAAAATCAAGATTCCCCCAAATAATTTGTAATTCTTGAAAACCTTGGATCTAGCACTTCAGCTTGAGCAACTGAGGTATCCAAGTTTTTTGTGCAAAAATTCTGTCTAGTGAAAGCAATCCGGTAGATTCTTACCTTGCGAGCAAAGAGTTCCTAACATCTTACTCTTTCTTATAAACACTGTTGTATAAGTCTTATAGAACTAAATCACCAGATTAAGTTATTAACTAGCTCTTCTGGTTACTGCAATTATAAAGCAGGCCTCTCAGGTCTCACTCACAGTACATAAGACTTGCAACTGGCTTCCACCTCAAATTCCCTTCCAGGAAGACTGACATGTCATACATTTGTGGCCCTTCTTTTACTCCATAATCCTATTTGCCAAGTGGAATAACCTGTGGTAAAAATGCCTCAGATGTGATCCTATGTCAGGAAACTCAATGCATACACTCTTGTATGGGAAAGAATATACCTGAGAGAACTTGTGAAGTCAAAGCAAGGTGCTCCATGCAGAGAGAAGAATGGGACCAGAGCATTCAGGGTTGTATTTCATACCCTTCTCCCTCAGCCATCAAAGCAGGATGGGGAATGGGTATTTACAAATGGATTTGGGGTTTCTAAAAGGATAAAACCATCAAAATGGTAATTCCCCAGAAATATTTTGAATCACCTTGAACTGGAACATTTTGTTTCTACAATTTCAAACACTTTTATTCTGCTTTCAACTTTTTCAGCCCCCCTTTGTAGTAGGGGGTAATATTTTTCAGAAACAAGAAAACATTTCAAGCCAGCAATAAAATCTCATTTGGAAAATGTCAAAGTAGGATATTTCAGCATCCCCCACCCTCAACCCCCCAAATGACTCAAACTGGAAAATCACTAAAAAGGCATACATGGTGGACAAGCTGTCAGTTTCTGAAGAAAAGATACATTGTGGGAAAGCTCTTAGGCAGCCCATGAAAATGACTATGCAAGGTGCAAGGCAGCAGAGGGTCCTGTCCCCAGCTAATTGTGGCCTGTGAGGTTTCTGTGGTAACTTGAAATGATAAGGGATGCATGCACACAGTCAGTTGGAAGCTGACTACACTGAAGAAATATGACTGAAGTCACTACAGATATACTGATGTGATAGTAGCATTTTGCCCAATGTGCTTGAGAAACCATGAATAAAGGATAGTTTCGGAGAATAGCTTGGTGCAAGAACTGCAGGACTTGAACACTTAGGACATTGTCTTCTTAGAAACTGTATGTATTAAGTTCCTATTTCAATCAACTGCTTCCAGAAATGGATTTTGGTCAGATCCTGTCCTCTCCCTGACACAGACAACCATGGCCTTGGACAAGTCACTTCAGCCTCCTCAGTCTTCATCTTTCAAAAACGAATACTATAATCTACTTTACCAGTGTTATGACAATTAATTAGTTGATGCTTTAAAAGTGCTGCTAAGTAAATAACACTTTGTTAGAATGCATATGTATTATGTAAGCACTGCCCTCTACTGAGTATTATGAGAGCTGATGAATTATGAGTAGCATGTTTTAAAATGTTAATGACTGCCAAATTTTTACTTAATTCTGGAGGCAGAGGCTTTTAATGTGAAACAAGAAAACATAATCTCTGTCCTAACTCTTTTTGTCACTTTTCAAGATGTAGGTTGCAATAAGTACCACAGTATGAAATCAGGAAGTTGCTGTGCTATAATACAAAGACACACACAAGAGGAAAGCACAAGGCAGATACAACACTTGATTGATATGAACTGTGGCTGCGTA